TAGGGGTATAATGAGACCCTGTCCCCAGGAGCTTACAGTCTTTGGGTATAATGAGACCCTGCCCTCAGGAGCTTACAGTCTAGGGGTATTATGAGACCCTGTCCTCAGGAGCTTAAAGTCTAGGTGTATTATGAGACCCTGTCCTCAGGAGCTTACAGTCTAGAGGTATAATGAGACCCTGGCCTCAGGAGCTTACAGTCTAGAGGTATAATGAGACCCTGGCCTCAGGAGCTTACAGTCTAGAGGTATAATGAGACCCTGGCCTCAGGAGCTTACAGTCTAGAGGTATAATGAGACCCTGGCCTCAGGAGCTTACAGTCTAGAGGTATAATGAGACCCTGGCCTCAGGAGCTTACAGTCTAGAGGTATAATGAGACCCTGGCCTCAGGAGCTTACAGTCTAGAGGTATAATGAGACCCTGGCCTCAGGAGCTTACAGTCTAGAGGTATAATGAGACCCTGGCCTCAGGAGCTTACAGTCTAGAGGTATAATGAGACCCTGGCCTCAGGAGCTTACAGTCTAGAGGTATAATGAGACCCTGGCCTCAGGAGCTTACAGTCTAGAGGTATAATGAGACCCTGGCCTCAGGAGCTTACAGTCTAGAGGTATAATGAGACCCTGGCCTCAGGAGCTTACAGTCTAGAGGTATAATGAGACCCTGGCCTCAGGAGCTTACAGTCTAGAGGTATAATGAGACCCTGGCCTCAGGAGCTTACAGTCTAGAGGTATAATGAGACCCTGGCCTCAGGAGCTTACAGTCTAGAGGTATAATGAGACCCTGGCCTCAGGAGCTTACAGTCTAGAGGTATAATGAGACCCTGGCCTCAGGAGCTTACAGTCTAGAGGTATAATGAGACCCTGGCCTCAGGAGCTTACAGTCTAGAGGTATAATGAGACCCTGGCCTCAGGAGCTTACAGTCTAGAGGTATAATGAGACCCTGGCCTCAGGAGCTTACAGTCTAGAGGTATAATGAGACCCTGGCCTCAGGAGCTTACAGTCTAGAGGTATAATGAGACCCTGGCCTCAGGAGCTTACAGTCTAGAGGTATAATGAGACCCTGGCCTCAGGAGCTTACAGTCTAGAGGTATAATGAGACCCTGGCCTCAGGAGCTTACAGTCTAGAGGTATAATGAGACCCTGGCCTCAGGAGCTTACAGTCTAGAGGTATAATGAGACCCTGGCCTCAGGAGCTTACAGTCTAGAGGTATAATGAGACCCTGGCCTCAGGAGCTTACAGTCTAGAGGTATAATGAGACCCTGGCCTCAGGAGCTTACAGTCTAGAGGTATAATGAGACCCTGGCCTCAGGAGCTTACAGTCTAGAGGTATAATGAGACCCTGTCCTCAGGAGCTTACAGTCTAGAGTTATAATGAGACCCTGTCCCCAGGAGCTTACAATCTAGAGGTATAATGAGACCCTGTCCTCCGGAGCTTACAGTCTAGTGGTGTAATGTCATGGTATGTGCATTGGGTGACATTACTGTATGAATTTCTTATTCTCTCTGCAGACACGACACTCTCTAGGGGTTCGCACAAAGATGGCCACTGGTGTAAGCTGGCCTACTGGGAGCACCGGACCCGCGTAGGGCGCCTCTACAATGTCACGGAACCCTCCGTACAGATCTTCAATGACCTGCCCAAAGGAAGTGGCTTCTGCCTGGCTTTCCTGGGCTCCGATAGCCGCAACGAGACCGTGAAACGCACGAGGAAGAAGATCGGCCAGGGTCTGATCCTGAGCCGTGAACAGGATGACGTGTGGGTCTACAATCGCAGCGATCACCCGGTTTTCATCAACTCGCCCACCTTGGCCCCCGTGAATGCCCGCGGGCAGTCCGTACACAAGCTGCTGCCAGGTTATTCCATCAAAGTGTTTGACGCTCAGCAAGCTGCGAGAATCTCGGGGTGCTACATGCTGGGCGAAGGGCCCTGTGACCTACACAGTGTCCGGATCAGCTTCACCAAGGGCTGGGGTGGCTGCTATTCCCGCCAGTTCATCACATCTTGTCCTTGCTGGCTGGAGATTCTGCTCAGCACCCCAAAATGAGGCGCCGGAGCTTGGGGGGGGTGGGGGGGGCAAGGTCTTTGTGACCCCTGAGGAGCTTTGGGTTACATGACCGGAGACGTGACATCAAAGTCCATGAATGCTTAATGTCCCCCCAAAAGCTCCTTCATGATAGATTCTGCAATCTGCACCTGCTGCTGACAGGCGCCATCAACGACTGGACACATTTCAGGCAATTCAAATAGTCCACGTCGTGGCCCGCTGCTTGCGGAATTACTTTGGAGACCAAAAGATTCAAATTGTGACCAAAAGATTCAAATTGTGACCAAAAGATTCAAATTGGGTGAAAAGTGATTAAACTTTTGTCTGACTGGAAGTACAATTCTGATTGGTCGATCCTGGGAATGAATAAAGATGTGCTTTGAAGATCGCTGTGACTGATTCTTACGTGTGACTGTTCTGTTGACTTAAAGCTGATGCAACGTTTCCAATGGCCAGTATTACCGGCGGCAGAGTGCTTCACCATTCCTATAAGAACAACCATCAGCCAACCGCCATCAATAACTAGCTCAATGATCCGTGTCCCCCGCTGTCAGGCATCAACTGCTCCTCTTCCTGATCCAGGATCTTTCATAATACACTGTAAAGTCTCCACTTCATCACTTCCGTACCTCCATGATGGATCCAGCTCCCCCTTCCCAACCATACATGATCTCCATCACCTCTCTTGTGTCTTTTTCATGAAGTCAACTTCATCTACCCAACCCTACATGAGCGCCATAACCTCTGTTGTGCCTTCCACATGGCACTGACTCCATCTCAACCTCACATGACCCCCATCTCCTGTGTTGTGGCCTTCTCATAGAGCCAACTCCACCATCCCAACCCTATGTGACCTCCATCACCTTTGTTATGCCTTTCCCAAGCAGCCAATTCCACTATTACAACCTTCTGTTGCGCCTTTCATATAAAACAAATTGCACCATCTCAGCTCCACATGACTCCATGTGGAGCTGAGCCAACACCACCATCCCAACCCTACATGACCTGCATCACCTATGTTATACTGTTCTCATGGAGCCAACTCCACTATCACAACCCTACATGACCCGCATCACCTATGTTATACTTGTCTCATGGAGCCAACTCCACCATCCCAACCCTACATGACCTGCATCACCCATGTTGTACTTTTGTCATGGAGCCAACTCCACCAGAGACGTGACATCAAAGTCCATGAATGCTTAATGTCCCCCCAAAAGCTCCTTCATGATAGATTCTGCAATCTGCACCTGCTGCTGACAGGCGCCATCAACGACTGGACACATTTCAGGCAATTCAAATAGTCCACGTCGTGGCCCGCTGCTTGCGGAATTACTTTGGAGACCAAAAGATTCAAATTGTGACCAAAAGATTCAAATTGTGACCAAAAGATTCAAATTGGGTGAAAAGTGATTAAACTTTTGTCTGACTGGAAGTACAATTCTGATTGGTCGATCCTGGGAATGAATAAAGATGTGCTTTGAAGATCGCTGTGACTGATTCTTACGTGTGACTGTTCTGTTGACTTAAAGCTGATGCAACGTTTCCAATGGCCAGTATTACCGGCGGCAGAGTGCTTCACCATTCCTATAAGAACAACCATCAGCCAACCGCCATCAATAACTAGCTCAATGATCCGTGTCCCCCGCTGTCAGGCATCAACTGCTCCTCTTCCTGATCCAGGATCTTTCATAATACACTGTAAAGTCTCCACTTCATCACTTCCGTACCTCCATGATGGATCCAGCTCCCCCTTCCCAACCATACATGATCTCCATCACCTCTCTTGTGTCTTTTTCATGAAGTCAACTTCATCTACCCAACCCTACATGAGCGCCATAACCTCTGTTGTGCCTTCCACATGGCACTGACTCCATCTCAACCTCACATGACCCCCATCTCCTGTGTTGTGGCCTTCTCATAGAGCCAACTCCACCATCCCAACCCTATGTGACCTCCATCACCTTTGTTATGCCTTTCCCAAGCAGCCAATTCCACTATTACAACCTTCTGTTGCGCCTTTCATATAAAACAAATTGCACCATCTCAGCTCCACATGACTCCATGTGGAGCTGAGCCAACACCACCATCCCAACCCTACATGACCTGCATCACCTATGTTATACTGTTCTCATGGAGCCAACTCCACTATCACAACCCTACATGACCCGCATCACCTATGTTATACTTGTCTCATGGAGCCAACTCCACCATCCCAACCCTACATGACCTGCATCACCCATGTTGTACTTTTGTCATGGAGCCAACTCCACCATTCCAACCCTACATGACCTGCATCACCTATGTTGCACTTTTCACATGGAGCCAACTCCACCATCACAACCCTACATGACCTGCATCACCTATGTTATGCTTTTCTCACGGAGCCAACTCCACCATCCCAACCCTACATGACCCGCATCACCTATGTTGTACTTTTCTCACGGAGTCAACTACACCATCCCAACCCTACATGACCTGCATCACCTATGTTGTACTTTTCTCATGGAGCCAACTCCACCATTCCAACCCTACATCACCTGCATCACCTATGTTGTACTTTTCTCATGGAGCCAACTCCACCATTCCAACCCTACATGACCTGCATCACCCATGTTGTACTTTTCTCATGGAGCCAACTCCACCATCCCAACCCTGCCTGACCTGCATCACCTATGTTGTACTTTTCTCATGGAGCCAACTCCACTTTCTCAATCCTACATGACCTTCATCACCTAGGTTATACTTATCTCATGGAGCCTACTTCACATCCCAACCCTACATGACCTTCATCACCTAGGTTGTACTTATCTCATGGAGCCAACTCCACCATCCCAACCCTACACGACCTGCATCACCTCTGTGATGCCTTTCATATAGAACTGATTCCACCATCTCAGCTCCACATGACGTCCATCTTCCAGATGGAACTGGTTCCACCCTCCCAGTCCTAAATGACCTTCACTACCTTGGCTTCCAGCTCTCCATAGGATTCGTCAGTCTCAGAAACACTGTTGGAACACATCCTTCCTTAGTAACTCAACTGACTGTTATCTAGGCTCCTCCAGCTCGGAAATATCTGGACTTAATTACCCTCTACAGCCCAAGTCCACCTCTGGATGTACCTAATAAAATTGGCCTCCATCTTTCTCCTGCTACTGATGGCAGTAAATCCTACATTGTCCCGTTATTATCTGGATACCAACACAATATGTACTGTGTCTCCATCATCTGCGGAATGTCCCCACCAACTCTAACTCTTCCATTAAAGGGAACACATACCGGGAGCTACAGATCTGCTGTGTCCTCGGATTACCTTTATCCTCTGGGTGGCATCTTACACCTGGAACATTACATTTCAGAGCATATAGATGTACAACGGGCACAGCTCCATCCCCTGCTGCTAACCCGAGATCACCAAGATACGTGCCTCTCATTCTGATACACATTCCTCTGTGTCGCTGCTGAATGTATCTCTCAGTTGTAAATGTTCAACATGGAAAGTCATGGCAGTGAAAAAAAAAAAAAACAGCATAAAAATGCATAACTGGAAAACAAAATTCTGCATCTCCCCGTCTCTCTCAAAATTTGGGGTAGAGGGAAATTCTCATCAAAAATTAGCATAAAATCTTTTAAAAATTGGCCTAGTGTGTCTAGGAAATATATTTTGCTGTGTCGTTGTCACCTTTGTGGAAGAACGGGAAGAATAAACCATTAAATGGCCCAGGACAACTTGATAAATGGATGAAGCTTTCAACATAATTGTCTATGCAGCTTCACTCTGCTGAGAATTTCCACAGTGGGGCTCTACTGCCATCTGCTGGGAATTTAGTGTAACAGCATCATCCAGATAGCTATATAGTTGCATCTTCAGAGGTTTTATACTGGATTTTTAATACTTAGGGGATCGATTTATTTATTTTGCCCATCTGTAAACGTTTGTGCGATTTTATGTTCTTTTGTTTTTTTCTTTACAAGTGTAATTATATTCACATTTTCTGATTGTAATATGGCGTCGTGGCCACTAGATGGCGCTAAAGCAGCATAGGAGATATGTATTTCTTTTCTGTGCTCCTAAGCGCCATCTAGTGGCCATTATACCATATTACAATCAGAATATTTTACTTTGATTACACTGGCAAGGGAAGGAACTTTCCATGTCGAACATTTAAAGAAAGCAGTGGAATTCGGCTACAGAGTGAAAAGTAATGACTTTGGTGATCTCTATAGAAAATAGCTTCTGATATCCTCTACATATTATTAGAGTCCTTCCTCTCCTCCCCTTGCTGTGCCCGCAGATCATTTCCAATATGGGGAAAGGCATTGGAGCTGCTGTCTATTTTCCGCATTGCCCGTACTATAGCGTGGATGGCGTGCTGCTATGTTTTTTTTCTTTTAATTGCTGGGGTTGTGATACCAAAACTGCATTTTAAATCCTTTTACAATGTCTCATCCTTTAAAAGCAGTGTATGTGATCTGATCTCCCCGCTAGTTTTTGTGATGTCAGTAAACTAGATGCTGGAGGGAATTGTTGGTGGTCACGTGACCCAGCTAAGCTCAGCTAATGTGCCTGGTAACTCAGCTGATGTGCCCTGGTGATTGTCCTGGGGGGCCGCGGGTACAGAGGGGCGCATTGAATGCCACCTCAGAGTCAGATTCAGAAAACTGTAATAAAGAATGTGAATGTAGCTGAGATGGATTATTGGTTCAGTGAAGTAGGCGATCAGGTGATCAGAGCGGGTTGTGGGTTGTCATGGAAGGTTGGTCTGAGGCCCATTGATAGGGAATATGTTCAATATTTAGTTAGTACTGGTGGTGTTGGGACGCATGTACGTGGAAAGATTATAGAGAAGGACAGCTGTGTGTCTCTGTATGGGGCACCCGGGGAGGTGAAGGAAGAGACAGGAGAAGGGGAGAAAGAGAGAGAGGTGGGGGGTGAGAGAGAAGGAGGGTAGAGAAGCAGTGAGAGAGACGGGGAAAGGTAGAGAGAATGAGAAGGGGGAGAGAGAGAGTCAGGGAGAGTAGAGAGAGAGAGAGAGAGA